TCTCTGTGTCCCATGGTCCCGGCATAGAGGCTGGCATGCAGTAGGTGCTCAGCTAATGTTTGTGAATTGGATGGATGCATAGATGGATGGATGAGTGTGAGTGAACAGCAAAACACTGTGCACATTTAACATACTCTCTAGGGCCACAAATGTGAGCAGTGTTTCAGTGTCCAGGGAGACCCTTTGGGGTGGCATACCAGGACACCCGCCTGCCTGGCAAAAGAACCTGGTTTGGGCCCAGACCACTCCGAGCAGGGGAATTAGGGCACAGTGGCTGCACTCCAGGCTGCACCCCGGTTTTTCCAGTTCCCGGTGCCCGCCCCTCAGGTGGCAGCGTGGGCTGACTCAGGAACAGACGCCCTTTGGCATGACGCAAATCCAGTCTCTGGCAGAGCCCCTCCCCCCAGGCCCAACTACTAGTCAGGCCAGTGGTGGCGAGGTCAGAGGGTTAAGAGTTCGTGGTGGCAATTCACCTGGGTCACCTCCCCAAGCCCCTACCCAGCTGGTGACCATGCACGTGGCCACCTCAGCCTAAGGATGCAGAGCATGGACTCTGTCCCCTGCTCTTAACAGGCAGCAAATGGCAATCCATGAGTTACTGACCCAGCAAATGAAGGTAAGAGGTAACGCCCTGTCATCCCCACAAAAGCGGGCGTCCGATGGCCTGGTTGCCGGCAGCACCTTGCCCCTTTCACACAGGCCTTGGGGAATTATCTTGGGGCATATTCTTCCTTCAAGTCACGATAAGCACAGCTACCTCTCCGCCTCCTGCTCCCCCTTCCACCAGCCTTTTATCTTCTGTTTGCTTTCCCTAGCCTCCTTCCTTCCTTTCTTCCTTCCGTTCTGGGGACCCACTCACCTCCGGGGAGAGAGGGAGGGGCCGCCCCAAGGAGCTGCCAACACCTGAATTTGCCCCCAACGTGAGCTACGGGTGGGGCAGACAGGGTATGGAGTAGGGGCCCCGCATGCCCCCACCCCTGCAGGTCAGAGGAAACTCCACAGAATTGAGGCCCGGTGGCACTCCCCAGGGAAGGCACTAGCCCCAAGAGTCAAGAGTACACAGAGCCCCCAGTGCGAGGATCAGCCATGTCCTGACAGAGCGGAGCCCCCTGCCAATAGCCCCCATCACAGTCTAAAAGCTACCTTAACCAGAGCCATCTCCTGCCTTCCCTTCAGCTATGGACCCTAGGTTAGGCTTGGGCCACTCAGGATGCCAGAGCTGGGACCCTGCCCCTTGCCATAAGTAGTGAGGTTACATAGTCAACAGTCCGCCGAAGCCATCCAGGTTCTCAGACTGAGCCACAGCAGAAAGTTACAGGAGGTAGACACTGATCACTGAGGCCCAGAAGGGACTCACCAAGGTCACACAGCTTGTGCGTAGGACAGTGGTAAGTGAGGACAGGGTACTGCCTTCCTCATGCCAGGCCCCAGCTCTTTTTGTCACTGGTCACTGTTTCCTCTCTCTGGGCCTCAGTTTCCTCACCTGTAAAGGGCCCCTTTGGGTTTATGAAAATGGAAGAAAACCTTGTTTGTGAAATGCTCACCATGGTGCCTGCAATGGGTGTCCCTGAGAACCAGGGCTGGAGAAGCTGGAGTAGAGAGGGAACGTCCCTGAGAGCCAGAGCTCCTAAGGGAGCAGGCCACCTGCCAAAGCTGCTGGCCACCTGCTCACCTGGCCAACAGTCCCCGTGGCCGAGGCGCCAGCCGGGGCCCCGCCAGCTCAGCTGCCGATGCCAGCACAGGAAGCAGAGACGAAAAGGGAGACAAAGCCGCCCCAGGGGAGATGACGGTCAGCCTGAGTGACTCCACTGTCCCCCAGGCAGGGCGGGCGGGCAGGAGGGCTGCCGTGAAGCTGGCTCATTCCTGACATAGCTCACGAGAGCTCTCTGGGCAGTGTGCCCACCTGTCCAACACAGCACCTGGGAGGTGCCTCCCTTCCGTTGTCCATTTAATTCTTTCTCGAGCGCCAAGCTTCCTGGGGAAAGAACCGTGAGGAGGAACGAACTCTGGGAATAACCTAGAGCAGGTGCTGGGCGACCTCAGGGCACCCATACCTCCTCTGTGGGCTCGGTCTGTCATCAATAGAAGCCCCAATGGGAGAATCCGGGTCTACGGCCCCGTGAGAGAATTCGGATCCACAGTTCCATGGCAGGTCAAGTGGGGGGTGGGGGCAGACCCTGCACCTCCCTCTATTTCTCCCTCAACATGCTCGGTAACAGCCCCCCAGTCACCCCACGTCCTGTACCAGGACCCGTTATCCCGGGGCTGCCCTGAAGCAGGTCCCAAGGCCAGGAGCTGAGTCAGGGATTCCAAAGGAACTGGTCATTTCCCGCCCCATTTCCTGCCCCCTCCTCTGGCCTGGAGGTTGCTACGTGGCCCAGATTCAAGTCTTGATACAGCCACATCTCAGCTGTGTGACTCCAGGTAAGTCTCTGAGCCTCTCTGAGCCTCAGTTCCCTGTCTGTTACATGGAGTTGATAACAGTTTCTACCTCGCACAAAGGCGGTGCGAAGTCAGCAAGAGCGTCCGGATAAAGCATCTGCCCAGCTCACACCTGCCCTCAGCACTTGTCTATGGGAGTAACTGTTATTCTCTCCGTCGGCATCAGGGTCAGAGGCTGCTGGGAAAAGTCTGGAGGGATAAAGAGAAGCCGGGCCGGAGGTTCCCAGCCATACAGAGGGCCCCTAAAGCACAAGGAAGGGAACTCTGGTGGAGGGACCCCAAGGAGGAAAAAGCAGGGCAACAGGTGGCTGGCAGTTGAGAGGATCCCACCAGTGAAGTCAAACATTTCACTCTTAGAACCGAGTCCTCCCTACTCGACTCGGAGCCTGCTAGCTCTCCACAAACAAAGCCTGCCAGACCCCTGACCCCCACCTCCGGGGGAGGGAAGGCTGTCCCAGCTTCCCGCGGAGACCCCTCCCAGCCCCAGCCTACACTTATCTCTGCAGAGCCTGAATCACCAGCCTGTGGAAAGTTTTCAGCTGCCCCTGACCCCCCACCCCCGCATTCTTGTGTGAGGATGTAATGTGGGAGGAGTTTGCTGACCCACGGGGCTGCCGCAGCCCCCACCTCAGCAGTCATTGTCTGGAACTGGGAGTGTGCACTGCAGGTCACCTAAGAAGGGGACCCCTGGGGAAGGGGGACTCGCTCAGCAAAGGGGAGCTGGAAGGACAAAGGGGCAGAGGTAGGAAGGGCCGGCAGGGAGTCGACACCACAGGAGTATGGTCTACACTGCGGGCGTATGGCCGGACAGGCTCTGAGGGAACACCTCATCCAGGGGTTTGCAGACGGTGTTAAGCAAGGGTCTGAGGATTCGTTTTGGGAGGCAAGTGAGGCCTCTCAGAAAGGGCTTCGAAGCTCATCCTATTTCGTAGGTTGCAGGATCCGTGGCTAAAACCCAAGTATAAAGTCAGCTGTTCTACCTGAACTTTGCATTTTATTGACTAGAAATCTGAAGCCAGGGGGGACGAGAGATTTACCCAAGGTCAGTCACCCAGTGGGAATGTGCAACTGCAGGGACTAAACCCCCAATTTCTCAACACCCCACTTATCTCAGCAAAGAAGCTCCCAGAGAAAGCAGATGAGCTGGCCTTCCAAAGGTCGGCCTGCATTCCACAAATGCCCTGCCCCACAGGCGTTTCCAGAAAAAAAAAAAAATCACCCATTGAAAAAAATCCACGTTGCTGTAGAGATTTCCGCTGTCACAGGCCCTGGCCGTGCCAAGCCACAGCCTCCCAACGGGAGTTCGCTAATGCCCAGGCCCCGTTCCCAGAGAGTGTCTGATTATTTGGCTTCCTCTCTGGGCTCAATTTGTTGTCGGTAGAAGCCCATATGGGAGATTCTGGGTCTGTGGCCCTGGGGAGGGTCGGACGTGGGGGTTCGGGGGCAGACCCTGTGTCTCCCTTCTTCCTTCTTCCTCAACACAGGCATTTTTCAAAAGCTCCCCAGGTGATTCTCACGTGCATCCCGGGAATGTGGATCCCGGGTCCGATTCGCTCACCTCCATGCACAGAAGAGGAGCGTGAGACCCAGGTTAAGGGACTTGCCTAAGGTGAGCTAACGCACTGAGCTAACAGAAATGGAACTAGCTCCTGGGACTGTACCGAGTGTCCACAGTGCTGGTATATAGTAGATATAAGACATTCTTGTGGGATGAATCAAAAATAACAACTTAAAAGCACTTATGTGTCAGACACTGACCTAAGCACTTTATGAGCATTAAGTCATTTGATTATCCTAACAACTCTGCAAGATGGGCACTATGCTCATCTCCATTTTACAGATGAAGAAACCCAGGCACAGAGAGGTTAAGACACTAGGTTAAAGTCACATGGCTAAACGTAGAGCTGGGATTTGAAGCCAGGCTTTCTTGTCCTAGAGTCCCTGCTCATAACCTCTATACTATGGGGTTTCTCAATTTATTCATTCTCAATGAATGAGTGAATCCGGTCATAAGAAACTAAAGTCCAGGAAGGCCCTGCTAATTCCACGTCAGAGCAGGAACGACCTTACCAAGATCCCACAGCTCCAGAACCAAGACCACGGCCTGGGAACACAGCTTCCACCCCAGCACCCCCTTGCCCCGCCACCCCTGCCCTGTCACTCACCCTGGCAGGCGTCCTCCACCTTCTCGTAGCCCGCCTGGCATAGGCACTGACCAATGGGCACCAGCCACTCGCCATCGACTGCACAATGCATGCGGGGCTCTTCACCCCCGGGGGGCACCATCGCGTGGTCTACGCAGGTGCCAGCCACAGTGGCCAGGGAGGGTGCGTCGGAGCCCGCGATGGTCTCGGGGAAGTGGGCCAGACCCTGCACCAGCTTGGGGCACTTCTTGTAGTAGACGCGGACAGAGAGCAGTGCCACACAGGCACCGATGTCCTGGAAGGCCAGGTAGAACCCCTTGCGGCTGAGCGGCCCCACGGAGCGCTCCTCCACATTTAGCTTGACTTGGCGGGCCTCGAAGTCACTGCTGACTGTGATCTCGTCAGGTGCAATGGTGTCGATTTTGGTGAACTGGCGCTTCTGGAAGTTGGTGCCGTAGTCCAAGTCCGACTCCGCATAGTAGAGGTTGAAGGTCTCCTTGCAAGAACTGGCGCCCCCGGGGAAGCTGTTGCAGTCACGCACGGTGAACTTGAGCTCGATGAAGATGCGCTCGGCCTCGCCGCGGTACACCCAGTTGGTGCGCAGCCAGTTGTCCTGGTCACCAGCCACCACGTTGCACACGGAGTACATGTAGATGGGCATGTCGTCCATGATGTTCTGCATCAGGTCCCACTGCACAGGACCGACAGGACAGTTAGTGTGGGCAGGCACTGGGGGGAAACTGAGGCCCAGAGGCAAAGCCCGGGGGGCAGAGCTGGGCATCGGGAAGACGATTTTTCAGTTCTTGCTGTCCTTTCTACAGGGAAAGAAACTGGGGCCCAGAGAGGAGCTTCATGTCACCCACACACGCTAGAAGTGCTGAACTGGAACCTGTCCCCCTGCTGTTTCTGACCCCAATGTCCGAGTGCTAAACCTCTATGTCAGACTGTGAGCCGGGGGCAGAGACTGGGAGCTCCGTGTGACCTGAGGCAGATCACTGAAGCTCTCTGAGCCTCGAAGTCCACACCTGTACAACGGGCTCGAGATCCATGTCAAAGAATTGCTGTGAGGATAAATGACAGAATGTCTACAAAACGCCAAGGGCACTGCCTGGCAGGGGGAAGATGAAACCAGCTGTCACACAAGCATCATCGTCATCATTCACTGTGCCTGCGGATATGCATATGAGTGTGAATGGCAGGGGAAGAGGCTAAGTCTGAAATAATAGATGATCCTCTAGCATTCAGGTTTTGATTTGGGGGCAGATAAATGTATATCCCCCCCGCCCAGAACATAGCTCAGCTTCCTCCAAAATTTCTCAGGTTGGGCCAAGTGTCCCCCTCTGGCTCCCACAGTCTCCATGTCCTCTTTGTCACAGCACATGGCACCTATGTGGTGACACCTACACCTGGCTTCCACACTAGATTCTGAGCTCCTTGGGGAAGGGAGTATGTCTTATTCACTTCTGTATCCCCAGGAACCACCTGGAACAGAGCAGGTGCTCAGCAAAGTATTTGTTGAATGAATGAATGAATGAATGAATGAATGCAAGCAGAGGGGCTGAGGAAACGAGCCTGGGCTGCACTGTGTGACACTGGCCAATGCCTCAAATGCCCTTGGGCCTCAGGTTCCTGCTTTGTGTAATGACCAGGTTGGATTAGAAGGTCTGGATTCCCTCCCAGGCAGACATTCCAGGATCCTGGAAATCCGCTAGAGCTACACCCGGGCCTCCTCAGAGCTAAGGTGACCGGGGACAAGCACTTGGCTCACGCAGATCTGGCCAGCAGTGGGAACTGTCTGAAGGAGCCACCTAGAGACACACTTCTCCCTGGCTCAGGGCCCCAGGACAAACTCATTGTAGAGAGGGAGAAACTGAAGTTCAGAGAACAGCAGTTTCTTCCCCAAGACCCTACAATAACCATGTACAAAGCCAGGGAAAGGACACGAGTGTCTTGTCTACCGGTCCTGATCATGGCAGGGCAGGTGGACAAGGGGAGGACACTCGGATGCGGATGAGGCAGAACAAGCCCAGGCCCGAGCAGGAAGGGGAAGCAACAGCGGGGGGAGCAGAGAGAGGGGCCCAGAAGGAGAAAATGGATTCAGTTTCCCAGGGCTGTGGGCACCTGGGAGCCACTGTTCCCTGTTTCTCCCTCATCCCTCACCACCTGGGCGGGGACCTGAAAGACAGGGGGAGCCTTTAACCCCTTCCTTCCCAAGAGGTGGATGGAGGGAACCAGACGGGGTCCTCCTGAGACCATCAGCCCTCTGGAGCATCCAAGGTTCCTGCTCTGCCAGGGCCTTCGGTTGTCTCCCGGCTCTTTCTACCTGTCCGGCCCCTTTGCTACATTCCACTCCCCAGCCCACCTAGCCTGGGATGGCTGACTCTGAGCCTGGTGTGAGAAGTAGGACCCTGAGCTTGAACCGGGGCTGAGCTGTTTGATGCAGGCTGGCCCCGTCCTCCCTGGGTCTCAGTTTCCCCATTCCCATGTCTTCGTCTGACACTGAAGGCTTACCCCTTTGCCATATGGGTGTGTGAGCCAGCCGAGTTCCCCTTTAGCTGCGGCAAAGTCCAATAGTACAACTGGAAGAGACAAGAGAGGAGGCCAGTGAGCTTGGGGATATCTCCACGGGTCAGGCCATGGTGGAAAAGGTGAGAGTCCCCCACGAGAAGCCAGCCCAAGAGACATGGATGGCTTCCTCAGCCCTCAGAGAGAGACCTCACTATATAGGGTCGCCATATCCAAGAGACCTGTCTTTGACAAATAAGAAAACAGAGGCCCAGGGAAGGGATGGGATGCAGTCAAAGCCACACAGTAGGTTGGGTGAGGTGTAGGTCTCCTGTCTCCCAGGCCATGGCTCCAGCCGCACCGCCCCCTTGGTCAGCCCCCAGCTGGGCAGAGCAGGACAGAGCTCAGCCCAGCAGGGGGACAGCAGCTGGGCAGAGAGCTGAGGCAAGCAGGGCTGTTAAGTGACACCACGCCGCCCCGTCTGCTTCCTGGAACAAGGCTTCTCAGCAGCACTTCGCTTACACGTGAGCCTTGGGGACCCTCGCGTCTACTCCTGTCCCATCTTCCCCAGCATGAAATACCCCCAGCTCCACCCAGCCACATAGCACACACATACGCTTACATGTATGTACACACGTGTCTCGTGGCACTCCAAGGAGAGAGGGCTGTTAACAGGTGGGAACAGCTCCAGGGAGGGGCGGGGGAACCAGTGGGGGGTGTCTGGAAACCGATCTGCCCACTACAAAAGCCACAGAGCAGGCGGGATAAAGTCATGAACCCACAGGGGCCTCTGGGAGGGGCCCAAAGATACACACAGCTGGCTAGGTCCCCTCCTTGAGAAAGTCGCTCCTACTGCCCCTGCCCCTCACACCCTGGTCACTGCCCTGCCAGGGGTGCCTGTGGGACCAGGGATGGAAACCCTCAGAGGGGACTTCCAGGCCCAGAGGGACCAGGTGCCCGGACCATGCTGTCCCCAGAGAGGTATCTGGAGCCTGGGGGAGGGACACGCTACCTGCAGGCGTCCCTGGATTTAGTCCTGCCCTTGGTCAGTTCCCATCGCTCCAGCCTGGCTCTCTCCCAGGCTCAATGGTGGCAGCCAAGACCCAAGACCCCGGGTACTGTCCCTCCACCACAGTCCAGGTAGCTGCCAACAGGTGCCAGCCTCCCTGGAGGGCAAGGAGATTGAGGCAACTGAGGCAGGGAACCTAAGCAAGGTCCCCAGATTCAGAGTGTAAGGCTCTAGTGTGGTGGGGGTTAGGGGCCAAGTACTGACTTCTTCTGGACCCTGGAGCCTGAGGACTGACAGTCAGAATCAGCGCCATTTCTCAAGGCCAGGACTTGGAAGAACAACTCATGGAGTGGAACTCCAAGCAGGCAGGGCCTGAATTGGGGTGGGGGTGTCGAGGGGCCTGAGAAGAGTCTTAGAAAGCCTTTCCTACGGTCAGACTGCCTGGCTTCCCTGAGCTGAAGGCCTGACGGTGAGGCGCTGCCGTCCGACCCATTGACCCAGGCCAGATCTCTCTTGGAAGGGTCCAGCAGCCCAGACAGGGGAGAGGAAATCCGATGTGGCACCAGCTCCAAGGCCGTGGGGTAGGGGAGGGTGGCTGGGGGCTCGGGGGGTAGGGGCAGGGATCTGTTCGTACATGCCCAGGGCTCAGGCTTGGAAAATTCACTAACCTCTCTAGCAAATGGAATGTCCTGGCTTACACAGGAAGGAATCTGGGGTTCCTGGCTCCAGCTGGGTGGGTAGGAGGACAACAGTGAGTGCTCCTCACAGTCCTCCACACGCCCCTCCCAGACGGGTAGGAAGCTGCAGTCCATGCCCAAGGGAGGGGGCTCACGGCTCCCAGGCTCTGAAGGGTTAACCTGACACGAGGGGACCCCCGCCACCCCTGCCAGAGCTCACGCCCGTTCCAGCCCCAGGGCTGGCTCGAGAGGCATCACAGGGCTCAATCGGAGAAGAAAAGAAGCCTTCACAGAGGAAGGGGCCCCCTCCCAGGGAAATTCCCTAGAACCGATCACCAGGAACAGGAGCCCAGCCCTGTCCCTCCACCCTGATGCCAGTGCGGCTCTCTCCCCTGTGCTCCCAGGGACTGAGGCGCCTGCTTCCCTGGAAGGGGTGGGGGCTTGGGAGCCCTTCAGCTGCCTCCAAAGGCTTCACTGAGAGGCCCAGGCTAGGCAGGACTCACCGGGGAGCCCCCTATCCCTCACCCCACCCCCAAAGCCTCCTTCTCTGCCCTAAGTTCCATCGTCGATGTCACCCTTTCAGGTTCATATTGTTTTACTCAAATGCGACACTACCACCCACTTTCCTAGTGTCACCTCCCTGTCCCCATCCCTCTTTAACCAAGACTGGCTAAAGGGGAAGGCAAGAGACTCTGGGGGTGGGGGGGGACGGGAAGGAATGAAGGGAAAAGGCAAACTGGGCTCTTACAGAATCAAGAAGCCAAGGACTTTCCAGGCCTCCTGAGCACACTCCAGGCCTTTCCACCACCCAACTCAAGCCAGCGCTCCCTGCGCCCCTACCCAGCTAGTCCCGAAACCACAAGGCAAGGGGCCCTGGGCTCTGGCAGCCCAGGAAGCCAGATGCTCAGATCTGACCCTTGCTATGTAGAGGGCCCTGGCTGGTGAGGGCTTGGGCCTCTCTCAGTTTCTCCTTCTGTAAAAAGAGGACAGATTCAGTGTCCATGGGGAATCTAACAGACTCCCTCCAAGTCTCCAAATACGGCCTCGCTCCTCTACCCACAGCGAAGGGGAGAGAAGCGAGGAGGAAAGGGAGCCTGGATCAAGGGTGGGAGGTGCATGAGTGTTCACCTCTCTGCCCCCTGCTCACGGATCTGCCCTTAGGCAGCTCAGCCACATCCAGCCTGAATCCCAGAGAACATAACAAACCAGCAGCTGCCAGCTGGGCCATCACTGCCCCCTCCCAAAAGGCACAGCTCCCTAGGCAATCGTTCACAGGGACTCTTGGAGCCTAAGCCAAAATATTCCTCCATCCTAGGACTCTGCGATGCGCATTTCCTCCCCCATCCTGTGGAAGTGGGGGGCAAGTAATCTGGGATGGGGAGGGCTCAGTTTGGGGGCACAGGGACAAGACAGCTCCTGGTATCCAGGCCAGGGGCTGGGGCTACAGCATAACAATCACCCAAGAGAGTAAATCTCCCCTAAGCACCCACCTTCCCACCCAGGGCAGCTTTTGAGCAAGGCCTGTAGCCATTCCAGCCGTCTCTTCCCTTCGCTCCAACCACAGCTCCCCAGGAAGGGGAAGGACCGAAAGCTGAGCGGTGGGAGGTACTGAGGATCCCAGAAATCCCTACCACTCACTCCTGCAATTTGGGACCAGGAGCCCTGACTGATCCAGGGACTGGGACAGGATGCGGGCCCCTACCACTACCCCCAAAAGCTCCAGCTCTGGCCTCTTTTCCACCCAACTTGGAAGAGCAAAAACCTCGTTTTGGGAGGTGGAAAAAGAAGGCCAGGCTCAAGGAAACTTCTCACCGGGCCAGGGTTTCCTCCGCGTTTCCCCCTGGTGGAGCCTGCGGAAGCCTCGCTCGGCCCAGGCCAGCCGGGGAAAACGTGTTCTATCGGAAACTGAAGCCGGCCTCCGCTGGGTGGACAGGAAGGTCCTCTGCCTCTGCCACCGGCAGAAGCCCCCATGCTATCTGCGACCCTAGCTGAGGGGCAACGCCCCCATCCACAAACCCGCCAGCCCAGGGCAAAGTCTGCGGGCCCCTCACCCAGCCCAACTCGGGGAGAGCCAGAGCGGGGGTGGGTGATTCAGTCCCCACCCCCGCGTGCCCGGACTCCCTGGTGGCCCTGGGGTGATGGCTCCACACCTCGAGAGGCTGCGGCCCCACCTGCCGCATTTCCTCGTTCTGAGTCACTCCTTGCTCAGAACTCTTGATTTTGGGACTTCCTGTCCGCACCCGCGGCCGCGAACCTGTCCCCCGAACCTGTGAGTGCGGGGTGGGAAGGACCGAAGGCTACGGGTGGGCAAACTGGCCCGAAACGACCCCATGCTCTCCTCCCAGGCTAGAGGCAAAAGGGGCGTGGAGAAAATCTCAGGGCGCAGGGACTTCTGCAGCCGGTTCCCCTCCAGCCGAAGAGCCCTCTCCCCAAAATGAGGATCCACAGAAATGCCTTCTCCGCAAAATCAAGGCAAGCGGGTTAATGAATTCAGGTCACCAAGAAGCTGAGTCCGCGCGCGGAAAGCCCCCAGACACCCCAGTCTCCAAGGGACCCCCGCACCCCCGTCGGGACGCGTTCCCGAAGCTGCTGCTGGGGCCGCAACCGCGTGGCCGGCGTCGCTTCCCCTTCTAGGTGGTCCCCGAGCCCCGCGCTCCTGGGCCGCCACCCTTAGTCCCTGCAGCCCCTACATCACTAGGTGGGGTTCCCAGTTTAGTCCCGATCGCAACCCGGTTGCCCTCCCCACCGCGGCACGCCGGGACTGGGCGGCGCCAGGTCGGTTTCCAAAGTTGCGCGCGTTAAGGCACGCCGAGCTCCGGGAGGCTCGGAGGTCCGGTAGTCAGGCCGCCCGGGCTGAGTGGGGCCGGGGCGGCCGCCGCGCGCACACCCACCTTCCT